GGAGTCCTGACATGCAGCTCCTTTGGGGTCAGTTAGACTGTTCCTGGAGTGACCAGGCAGGGTCTTCAGGGCCACTGCACATTCCTGCCCACAGGCTCTTGGGAAATATTTTCAGAATTAATGTTCGCATGCCTTCAAGTGATTGTAAGCCTATAGTCTGTGCAGCAATCTATACTTACAAATAATTACAGTTGCTGTAAATCATCAGGATCAGGTTTGGAGGCATTTGCGGATCTGATGGCCCCATTATTATAGCTTTCTAGAGTAATGGAATGATGGCAAGGGCAGAGGGGTTAATGTGCAGGTGGCTCCCGACTGTTAAGGTTCTATTAATAAATGACTCCTCCACTCTAATGTCTTATGAAAGCTTAAAGCATTCGCTTAGAGCTTCCAGGCCTTCGAATATGCAGACATATGCAGATCGAGTCTCCAGAAGCCTTGAGGATAATTGGACTATTTTCCCAAGCAATGTTCTGTGACTTACATTGCACTTTAATACACATACACTGTGGGTCTGTGTGTGTGTGTGTGTGTGTGTGTGTGAATGTTTGTGTGTGTGTCTGTGTTTTTCTCTGTGTGTCTGTGTTTTTCTCTGTGTGTCTGTGTATGTGTGAATGTTTGTGTGTCTGTGTGTGTGAGCGTTTGTGTGTGTGTGTCTGTGTGTGTCTCTGTGTGTCTGTGCAGAGTGTTACAAGGAGAGACAGAAAGACAGGGAGAGAAACAGAGAAAGAGCAAAGGCCAGAGGAGTGGTGATGGGCAAAGAGAGGGGCTCTAATGTGCTGCTTTACCTTCAGTATTTGAAATCCAGGGTGTCGGTGCACTGTAAAACTAGAAACAGTGAGGTAGCCTGGAGCCAGGAAGCATGAGGTCTCTGGTACCCAAAGCCCAGGGTTCAAATCCTGTCTCCCCCACATCTGGACCATATGACTAACACAAAAATTACCTTGGTCTCATCTTTTGTGTTGGGGGGAATGATACAAAGATGGGGAGCTGGAGGTTCTGTCTGAGAAGCAATGAGGTGCTGAGCCCTAGGCTACTGAGAGCTGGTGTTCAGCAGCACTCCACCTCTCACCCTGAGCCTCCCTCCCATTATGAACAGGTCTGGACATTAGTTCCTCCAGGACAAGTGTACCTCCCCCTCCTCCAGAGACCAGGGTGGCTCAGGCCGTGAGTAGTGTGAGGATCCTCTATGGGTAAGGGCAAGGGTGAGAAGCTCCCTGTCTTGGCAGCTCTTTTCTGTGGCAGTCACTTCAGAGTGCTGCCAGCAAGCATCAGAAGGGCTTCACACCAAAGAGAGCCACAGTTCAGAGTAGTCCAACATACACAGAGGCATGGGCAGGCAGGCACACAGGATTCGGTGGGGGGTATAATCTATGGATATCACATGTGTCCACCGTCTCATTCAGGTGTAGCTCTGAACCTTGA